TGTGATGGTCATCTATTGGATAATTTTGTAACACGAATATGCAATGTCCGTCCACCTTGCAGCATCCAGTTTTTTTAGATATCTTGGAAACACGATTGCGTTTCTTTTTTTTTACCATATTCTATGACAACTGATTGCGTTTCATATTTTAATTCTGTAATAATAATATTGATATTGATAATGATAAGTAAATCACCCTAATTGGATATCAATGTTGTAAACTTTTTATTCGAAGCGACTAACGTGTTAGAAAGGTTTAATTTGAATGAAAGCATTTTCAAATTTTCAATAATTACGATTAAACAAAGTCGTTTGCAGATTTGTTAACCTTGTTGAAAGTAGGTAGACAATCGTAAAACCCAATGCAATCGGTTTTCCAAATTTGGTTGCCAGGCGATTAGAAATACGACCGTCGTTTCTTATAAACTAACGAGATTTATTCACATATATGGACTTAATTAATTCAAAAAAATTTACTATTTACTGGATATGCGCAGAAACATACAAAGAGAATGTCTATTCAAAATACTAATATTTAGTGATTTTATATTTCTGTTAGGATTATTCCTAACGAGAGTAGCAACAAATTTGACTTAACCAAATATCGTCAGCTATTTAGCTTCCTGAGGCTAACGCCAAATATTGTTCCCGCTGTCGTTCGAGAAAATTTTCAACAAACAGACAATGTAAGTGGCAGCATGAGCAGAGACGGAAGATGTCATTTTTGCTAAAAGTTGATTGATCAGCCCGCAGATAATCATGACAAACTTCTGCACAGCCTTGGTGAACGGAGATTATTAAAATAAAATTTGGAACAATGTGTTGATTTTTTCCATTGACATTGAGCTAGCAGGAAGAATTAGCTATAATCTGGCCAACACCAGCGGTACTACACCCTTAGAAGAAAAATTACGTTATTACTGGGAATATTCAATCACATGCAAGCAGTCATGTGTATATAATATATAAGGAATCTTCTTTCGTATTGACTGGCGTCTCTTTTTTTTTTCTTACAAACCCTTCCAGCGTCAATAATAATGTCAACAAATAAGATAAACTTGTCCAAGCAAATTAAAATTCTTCAACTGGCTGAAAAAGAAAAGGATTTACTTCATTATATTTCTCCCAGAACTGTGGTCAGAAAGGAGTCGCAATAAATGTTCTTTCTGAATTGAAGAACGACGAACAAAAAATCAAATATCTTAGAGGACTCTTAAAGTCTGGTAAGTAATTCTACTTTCTAAATTAATATTAACTTAGCATAATATAACGTTGCTTAAACTTTCATTTCTATAATGTTTGCCAATAATAGCGAATACTTACTTATCTCGTGCTTAGAGATTTTGTTTGCATCATAATTATATAAATCATCATATTTCTTCGCTAAACTTATATTTTTTCCCTCTCTTCTATGGTTTCTGCTTTCCATCTACGATCACGAATAGTTTGTCATGAAGCGCCAGAGCTTGGTATGTTATTGGCTGGCAGAGTGAATTCTGCAAATTTAGAATCTTTATTTCATATTCTTTATATCTCTGATATTTCTTTTAGAGGGTGAATTTTCACCTAAAAGGCAAAAGACAACTTTTTCCGAAATTCTCAATGAATTAGGTTTGGAACATGCATACAATACTCGGAATTGCATCGTTCTGGATAATCTAAGCCATGAAGATCGTGTGCGTTTCATCAAGAAACTCGGTCAACCATTGATTGGTGGGGACTTGTTTCATACGATAAATGATACTGCTGCTTTAATCAAGACAACCAGGTTCCAATGCCCGGAAACAATGGCATCATCATCTCATCAAATACCATCTCGTCAGATGAACCTTTACCTTTCACATGCATCAGCTCTTTGTAAGGCCTGATTATGTAAAACTCTATGACATCATCATCAATAAGGGTGGTCGCATACACCTCACGGCATTGGAAAATCCAGCTTTCTTATATACTTTGCTATCCGCCTGTTGAGTGAGAGCACTGATCAAGCTCCAAATGCTGTCATATTTCAAACTAAAGGTTATTGCATGAATGGTACTGCTTCTGTGGGACAAGTGTTCATTGTGGAAGAACTCATGAGGATTTTCTTCCCCTCTTGGTCTTTAAAACTACATGGTATTTAGCTGATGGCATTGTGGACCCCCTTATTTTTGATGTAAATATTGTTGTTGCTATTCCACTCTATGAATATGGCAATAAACAGTTTCAAGATTATGCTAAAAAATCTATTACACATTATATGCCTCCCTGGAGTGTTGATGAGCTGACATCCTGCCAGCAGCAGATCTTCCCAGATTTACCCCCCCACTTTGGTTAGCAAACTTTACCTTAAGGCTGGAGGTATCCCAAGATACGTACTGGAGCAGGCGCAGATTCAATGGGATGATCCTATCAACAACAAAAATTTTGATACTGTTGAAAAAAATGCTTTGCGACATTTCTTTCAGGCTTTTAAAGAACTTGGTAATACGATCCAACTTTTGAAATGCTTCTGTGGTGGAGATTATTGCATGACATACTGTAGCCGTTTGATTCACACTTGGAATAGTGATGATACATACAGGTTCCCTTACCATACGTTTGCTTCACGTTATGTCTTTGACAAAATCCAGGATCGCTTCACAGAAGAAACTGTACGATATATGTTACAACAATTAGTATTAGCTAATAATACTTTCCATGATACCAGCTACAGAGAGAAAATGTTCAAGCTATATGTTCTCTATCTATGGCGGTCTGGGGGCAAGCAATTCACAACTAAGAGACTTGGAAGCTCAAGCACAGCCATGCTCAATGCATCTTCCAACCCCAGGATTTACCGTGTTGAAAATGTAAATGAATTCAAAATACCGGACGAATTTTCAAATGAGCTCTTTATACCACTCCACACCAACTTTCCCGCTACTGATTTTATTGTGTCGCCTAACAAGATTTTCCAAATTACAGTTAATCCAAATCATGGTGTTAAGATGAATAGATTAGTAAAAATTATCAAAAAAATGCTTAGAGCAAATCCGACAATGGATAGATTCTTTCTTTATTTTGTCGTCCCGGAAGAAATTTACTACTTGACAGTTAACGGTCACAATGCTCAAAACTTGGCTCAGGAAATTCGACTTGTTCAACAATGGGCATTGAAAGTCGACATTGCAGCTACGTTACGCGAAAGGAACTAGCATATTATATTTTAATCATGTGTAAAGCCTTGTTTTTTTTAATAATTACGTCGATGTGCATTTCGTAGCACGTTCAAATTGCCGAATGGTGAAAGAAAAATAAAATTATGTTGTATAACATCAAGCGGCTGGGGTTAGAAAACTCTGCGAAATTGGCATTTGTTTAATCGCATCTTCAGCGACTGGTGATGGCCGAACACGCGTGTATAGTGATATTGTTACGTGATTTTTCTTACTATGGTGCGGGACACCTAAAGCCCGAAATAAAATACTCGACTTTCAAATGTCGTGACGTGACACGTGGGAGAGCGATCGTGTAACCTCCTTGAGATTTAGCGTCTTCCAACGGCGTCGGAAACACTAATTCTTCTACACAGTTAGTGACCTTTTAACAGGCTTTGAATATTTACGAATGTGTCGGTCGTATCGTATACGCTAATCCATTGATCTATTTAACCTCGAGTATAATCAGCGATTATGATCCGGTGGGTTACCTATGACTCTTATTTTGAAAAAAAGGTACCTGAGTCGTCCCTATAGTAATAGGCCTGCTTTGCAATAAAAACGTTCTGGCAATTTCTGGTCCTTTCCCGTCCAAGTCTATAAATAAATTTTGATTTGTGATTTTTTATATAAAAGGCGGAGAAAAATATCCGAGACCCCTTTACTCCTTCGTTATAATAATTAACGATTTGGGAGAATAAGACATTTAACAAATTTTAATAAATCTTACCCACGATAAATAAAAAGATTTATACACTCGAAATAATATATAATTTCTAACGATTAAGGTTTGTTTATTTGTTTATTTGTTTATATGCCATGACACCTCCCCACATTCATGTATATATGCTAATAGACCAATTTCCACTTATAGATGTCATCGCTTGCTGTTTCGGGAATCGCTCCATTTTTGGATTTCGACGACGTCTTGATGTTCGTTGAGAAGATCTCTATGTACTTGATAATCGTGACGCCAGAATCGCAACCGAACTTGCTGATTACCGTGAAAAATTTACAGCAAGACTCGATGAAATCGAACGAGTCCTTCAAACCCATCACAACAATTTTGACGAATCCGATCAACAGAGCGTGGCGAGTCAAGCTTCCTCTGCAAGCTCAGGTCAATTGTCGTTCACGAGTTATATTAGTACTTTAGATCAAATTGATTTATGGATCGATAGTAAAACAGTTACACGTGATAGTGAGTAGCGGGAAAGGAACTGCCAATATATGGGTTAGGGCTCGGCAGGCTTATCAAGCAGGCATGATCTTTGTGCCTTTACTCCCTTGAAACATCCTGCTACTCTGTTATTTTTACTTAGCCGGCCGGCCCTTTCTCATATTATTTTATGAAAAAATAAAGCATTATTTTGTAGTAAAAATTGCTTGTTCTTACGTGATTGGTGCATTCTATTGATCCAATCAAAATTGTTCACGTTAAGTACCCCGTATAGAAATTTTCGACAAATTACATTTCATTACGGGTATTTCGCCATTTCTAGATGGACGGAAGTAGGAATGAATATTATGAATATTTCGAACGAAAACCCTCAAAATGGGACATTATAGAATTCTTAGAGCAATGCGACCTTGAGCCGTACGAAAAAAAGGTGAATCGATACATTAGGTGCCTCAGATGTATTGCTCGTGGTGAGCAAAAAGAGAGAAAAGAAAAGGCAGAAGAGCTTCTCAGAAGATACATTGAAGTAAGTAAAATTTTTTTGTCAAATATGCAAGTGAAAAATAGTGGCGTGACAAGGACCCAAGATCCACTCGGTGCTTGATCATTCAAGGCCATTCGCATTTTTCGCGACCGCCGAGCCACAAAATCAGTGCTGGAACTCAGGCGACCCATGTTGGTAACTCACTCGGTGGTCTGATGTTCAAAGCCATTTGCTTACCTAGCAACCGCTGATCCAGCACTGATCCTACTAGGGCACAGATAACCCTTCAATCGGTTGGCTGATGTTCAAAACCACTCGCTGATATAGCGATCGTTGACCTTGTAGGATGGAAATCAGGTGGAAAACAGGATATGTTAGTAAAGAATGTTATTAATTTAAATCTTGTTTGCGAAAGGAAAATAAACCAGACAAACAACGCGTCAAGAATTGGGAAAAAACACGTAAATCAAGCAGTGGCTCTTCGATTTACATCCACAACCACAACTCGACATTATCAGGAAACTCTTTTGCCGTTGCTGGGAACACTTCAACTCCTAAAGCTACTACTAAACGCAAGCGAGAGGGCTTTAGAGGGAAAAAGTTAGTATCTTATAGAAATGCTTTTTTTATCTAGAAGTTGAGAATTCGTGAAACTAATTTTAATTGTTTAGAACGATGAGGTGCAAGAACAAACAAAGCGAGTACGTTTTGAGGAAAAGTCGAAGAAATTCTCATCAGAAAAAAGGGTCGGTATCTAGCTTAAATTTTGCCCGCAAAAAATTGCCTTTTATAGAAGGTAATTTTTTTCTATCGTTCGGATGTACGCAGGCAAAAACTAGTGATAATTGGGAAGACATCGATGCCGCAGCAATTGATTTAGAAGAAATTTCTGATTCAGACGACGCTGATGCTGAACCGAATGATACAGAAATTGAGTACCTCAATCAAGTACTGTGGCATTTGCTACCTTTTATTTATAGCTTTGCTTTACTTGTATATGAAAAATAAACTAATCTCTGTCCAACATTCTAGGAAGTAAATAATTTGAATGACACTGAGGTGTCCATTCGAAATACTTTACTTGATGTTCTCAGCCAACGTAAATCTAGGGATTTAGAATCGGAAAAAACCTTTATGAATTCAACATTCCTTAACGGTATAATTGATTTAACAGATGCGGATATGAGGCGACAAATAAAATCGACATTGCACGAAGAACAACAATCATGGTTAGATCAGGTATTAAGGAAACAAGCGTGGAAGCCAACACCCTCGTTCAAGGAATACTGTGACCAGTTCACAGATGATGCATGCAATCGTGTTCAAGTCCCTAATTTAGTCCGAAAGTCCTTCGTTAAAGGACGGTTTGATTCCTTTTTTGACGAAGGGCATGATATCGCGCAAGATATAATGAAACATTTGTATGTATTTTTGCTTTATGTGAGGCCAAACTTTCCGAAAGGTTACTGATATCGATTGTCAATAGCTCGTTACGTTTGGAAGCCCCGAGCAATATAGAGTCAAAAGCATTGGATCTGGAAAGGACATTCGCCATCGATACAATTGTATACATCATTAATAGACTCTTCAAAATGCATCAAGATGAAGTGGATTTAGTTTGGTAAATATCAATTGCACGTTCAATACTCGAATTATATTGCCTATTAATTACCCCACACCTATACTCAATTCAGGATTGAAATTCTCACTCCCGATACAAGTAAACGCAAGATCGATGGAGTCATGAAGGCTCTTCTGACAAAGCAAACTCATCAGATACTGGCGTTATTTGAGTTTTCCTTCGGTAGAAAGGCCCCTATGTCCAAAGATTATGAAGATAGAGTGAAGTTGTGTCGCAACGCCACGAGAATTTTAAACAAAATGCTCAAAAAAATCCCTTGTAACAAGGTGCGGGTGTACACAGTTCAAAACGTGAGTGAGTATTGGCATCACATTAACATATAGTTGGTAAAAAAAAAGTTTTTATTTATATAATATTTCTGTAAGATGAACGGATGTACATACGATACATGGTTCGACCTCTCCCATCAATATACCTGTACGAGGAGTTCGCATGTATCAGATACCCCAAGAATTTCAGTCAAATGGAACAGTTCGCTAGAGACATAATGGTACTCATGAATTTTCAGGTAATGGTTTAATGATAAATGCCATTAGGGCTCATACAAGCATTTGCATGATACTAACGTTGCCTGCTTTCATTATTGCAGAGTGATGTCTTGAAGACAGTCAAAGAAAGCAATTGCTTTATTGACACGATTGAAAACGATTATATCAGCACAGTTTCAGTGCAAGAGACACCGAAAAAGCAAAACAAAGGGAAGAAGGAAACTAGTTCTCCGCCATCGTCAGATCCCGGATCTCCATGTGACCGACTATTGAAATAATTCCATGACCTTGCAATTTATTCTCTTTTTAAGGTGTCCCCTACCTTCCTCTCCTTTTTCTTATGTGTTATGCAGTCGAAATTACCCAAAATTTTCTGCGATAACCTGACCAGAGGTCAGATCACGTGAAACGAATGACAATAAATCTGAAAATGATTTTACACACGATATTCTAGATACACATATATTTCAAAAAGCTCGTATATTTTCCTCGCCCTTTCTCTTTTTTTATAAAGCGTCGCATCAGTAATATCTTTAGAGAGTTGTTCTCTAACCTCCTTATTGACCAGGATAAGCGATGCGCGTTCCCGATTGGGTAATTTAAACGATCCAGCAAACCTATACCGAAATTGAAGTAAGCTCTTATCACATTTTGGCTTGCGTTGACGTTTTGAGTTTCGGCATCAAACAATTTCATTATATAAACGGACAAAATCTGATGATGTAGCTTGTGATGAAGGCGAAGTTATGTTTGTATCCGAACCTTTTCTACCGTCAATTCTTTAATTAATTTCTTTATGATAGAAGACTCTCCTTTTTTACCAGTCTTTTGTCTTTTGACAGGAATTTAGATGGTAAAGCGGAAGAGGTTTCGTTAGGCGTTTCATCCGCTTCTATTGTATCATCTGATAAGTCGGGCACTCGAGATGCGAAAGCATCTTCGCTCCGGTCGTACGATCGCGAGAGCTCTGCTTCCTCCTCAGAAATGATGGTGAATTGAGCTGATGTTGATTGGTCATCCTTCTAACTAGTGATAAAGTAGTCGACTGGGATAGTTGTGAAGAATCTCATTCAACTGGTTTAATGATTGAATCGGAGACCCATTCAATCTCTTGTTTGCATTTGGGACATCGTGAAAGGATTTTTACATGTTGTTCAAGACATTGTCAGTGAAATATATGGGAACATTCATGCCCGCTTATTAGTCGTTATGATTTTATAATAGCATGATTAAGGGTTTGTCTTACATCAGTAAGTACGGTGAAGGATTTTTCAATTAGTCACGGAATACGACGCTACATTTATACCTGTATTATTTTAGTGCTTAGTAACTAATTCGAGCAAAATCTGTATGAATAGCATTGTTTCATTTCTCGAATGCGCGCATTTGTTCTTTCATCTGGTACTAATAAATGTTAGTATCACAATATACAATAATTATGACATTTAATATTAACATAAGATTTACAGATTTAAAATTATATCAGTGATCTTTTTTTAATATTAACGTTATTATGCTATAACATAATGTTCACCTTTTTGAAAAAAGCTTTGGGATGTTTTCTCTGTACGGTGTCAAACTCTCAGCCAACGTCTTACAAGCACTAAGTGCAGCATATATCCATTAATGTCGTCACTGACACTAGCAGCCGTAGCCGATGCATTCGCAACTGTTGTAGATGTCTTATATCCATCAAGTGAACTACAGAGTGAAAGTCGATATAACGGATTCGTCAGGAGGCACAAAATCCGTTATATCGTGATAATCCGGTTTATCGAAAATCCGATATTAATATTAATATAGCAGACTCAGAAAGTGTTTGATAACGGTTTTTATTTATTTAGCCAATGTACACGGTAAAAGTGTATTCGTCAATAATCAAAAACAAGAAATTGATCGAGATTTGTTTTTCATTATGTAGGACTATTGCTTTCTTCAATTTGCTCAAATTGTATATGCAACTAGCGTCTATCTCATAATCGTTTTGATTAATAAATTCAATGAGAGTTGATACATCCTAATGCGTTGCTGGTGGAAACCTTTTTTTTTTCAATTCCGAGTCTGATTCATCTATCGCTCCCACCCCCCTTACAACATCAACAACGAATAATATAATAAAAAATGTTATATCGCCTCTCTGTATCGGTGCGGTGAACAATAAGCGTTTATGCGAGCGCACCTGTTGCATAATTTTTAAGACTTTAGATTACTGTTTGTCCAAGTATTGATTTGAGGCGTTTATATAATGAGAATGGAATAAATGGTCTGTTAACAGTTTGGTTTCCGTCCTCTATTTTTCTTAAAGCTTGCGTGTTTTAGATCCGCGAAAAACTTGGCACGCGTTTTTTCAACAAAAAAGTAAAAATTTCAAAAATAATTAACAATTCCGCATTTACACTTGCACAGGTTTACTGATACAATAGTCATTGATATAATTTCATGTATCTATTCACAGAATTGTAGAGTCAAAAAAAATAGTTATATTAGCAGTTTTATTTTTTTTATCATTCATACTTTATATTCATTGCACGGAGAGGAAATCGTGAAACACTTGCTGATGTATAATCAATACTTTACAAATATAATTTTGTCCCCAATTTCCGCGGTGTTAAAGTGCTAGGGAAAAAAACTGGCCGAGATAATAGAATAAGAGTTACATTACAACAAACACGTTTTTCTAATGTCTACTTTATTCAATAAGTGTCACTTGTCATATACATATCGTTTTGTTTCGTCTTCTTAATAATTTTTGTTATTGCGAATGTCAAAAGCGCATTTAGAACCATAGACACAAGATCGTAGAAATTTCGATATTCTCATAAACGTCATGTCAGCCGTCTGCAAAAAGGGAAAACGCATTTCTGAAATTTAGAGTCAAGCCGTTTACAAACTTAACCCTAACCCTGTTATGCACAACGTCAGCAAGAAGAAAACCGCAGCCAAAATAAAGATTGCGCTAGAAAAACAGCATCCAGATTTGAATTGGCTATCTGTAATAGTAATGAGCTTTCCGACTTGTATTTTATGAAACAAACATGCTTATTAATTATGACATGGACATAACTCTTTTTTGAAGGGCGGTCTTTGATATTTCTATATTAAAGTGTAAGCTCACACTCATATGTGTTGTTAAAAGGTTCATCAATACTATTAGCACTTGAGTATTCGACTTCTTCGAGTAGATAGCCGTAAGAGAGCAGTTTATCATTGACTTTGGTACTTAGCTGTTTCCGAGCGGAGCTGCGGTTCCTACTCTTAGTTAATACAATAACAGTTATTGACCTTTCAACAAGCTTACTATTCATGATCAGGATTATTTCGGAAACTCATAATGTTGGAGTCTAATTACAACTATCTAGGACGCGTTTATATTCACGAATGACACGAGAACATTCGCGGGAATATTCCTAATCGATACTGGAATTGGTAATTTTGCTACTATTTACCTGGGAAACAAAAATCGTATATTTGTTTTCGAGTATGAGAGCTAGTGTTTATTACACCAATTCATGAAGAATAAAAAAAAAGTTCGTTTGATTCTTGAATCAAGTAGAACGTGAAGAATCTAACGGAAAGTTGCAACTCTTATATATAATCAAGCAGTGACTATTCTACTTAATTAATTCTCGCTGTGGTGTCATGACAGCTTTGTAAGGCTGTTGAAACTGTGCAGAAACAACAGAACTCTATTACCATGTTGAGGTTTAAGACAGTCTCCGGCAACAAATTTTGATTCCGAAAACAGTAAGTCACAGGTAATAAAACGTTTTTAATTCGAAATTCTCCACTACACTGTTGTCAATAATCCCAAATGGCATCATAAAATATAACACCCATGTGTTGGCAGCGTAATTTCATATAGGCGTTTATCCAACCACGACTAGAGCAACTTTGACCTGAGGCAAAAAAAGAGTTGTGAGTGACGCGGGGTGTTTTGATGTTCTGAATAAGATGTTATGATCCTATTCTAGGATTTCACTACATGTAATGTCACGTCTGAGTTATTAATGGAATAACAAGCGAAGCATCCATGCCGGAGACATGCATTACAATAGATAACGGGTTCTCTCTCTAAACGGACATTACAAATGGTCATTCCACCCTATTGCCTCTCGCACATAATGGCATTGTAAAGATTTCTTATTGCCAAAATATCATAGTAAAAGAAAAGCTTAACGCCTGCCTCACGCTTCGGATTATAATGGACAATCCTCTATTTATTCGTTTTTTTGCCCTGGTTCGCTTTTTACGATTTCTATACTTTATTTTGTAGAATGATTTAAAGTGACGTTATATTGTTACTGTACGTTTTGTATAATAAATATACTTTTTTTTTTACCTCACACCGTATTTAGACTATTTAACTAATAAATACATCAATACTACTTGCAAAGCTGCAATGAAAAATAGAAAGTTAATTCTCCGTTTACGCTTGACAGTTGTTGTCGCCTCAGGAATCACAATATACCGAAGCGACCGAAGCTGTATAGAAGGAAATAAATGTAAGTGTAAAGCGTAGCGATCCTTACGACTGATTAACGATGCTTACAAGGAAAAATCCGTTGGCAAATGCAGCGTAAAAGAATGTTACAAGAACAATCCAGAATGGAGCCACGAGAGATACAAGCAGGGTTGCTATGGATCTGTAGTATTGAAATTTGCGAAATTGTTAATGTCATTGCTGATTTTTCAGTAGACATCTTTTTCATCTAACAGAGATTCCATACCCGATGAATTTGTATCCGCTATATGCCATGAGATCCAAGAACTGACTTTCAGACGTAATACTCAGCAAATAACATCCAGTCTTTATGAACGCCAATTCAGAAATAACAATAAGGAATGCTGCTGTAGCATTCATTCCTAATACTTCTGGGTGGAATCTAGATTGGATAAGATTAGAATGTATCAGCAACACGCGAACACGTTATCTAGCAAGATTTCAGTTTGTTATAAACACGCTCTTTACTTGTGCTCAGTTCCTGCTACTATTCCTGTAAGTAATACGTATGTTACAAGAGCCATTGCTACGCAAGAACAGACCGCAATCATTAGTTTACGAGTATTCAAATATGTTACAATCAGGGAACAATCTACACTCACTTGGAATGTACAAATCAGGCGAATTTATATCTTCTCGTGGTGGCTCATACCCTTCCATTTGTCCATTTTGCTCAGATCTTCTCACCAACCTCGTCCATGGCTATTGTGGCAAACCAACAATCAAATCGTCAGTGTTTCGCGCAAAACCCCACATACAAATTGCCCAATATCAAAACATTGGAAACCAAGATAAAACAATTATATATATTCTTCTTCACTTTACCTTATGTCGCCAAGGAAATAATACTAGGCGAATCTTATTTGCAACATAAGAATTATTCACATTGAAATAATGTTTAAGAGCCGGAAAATTCACGTAGCGGTTTATCTGCGAGAATTTTTTAGCGCAAAATAAGGATACAGAGATTATTTCAGCAAGTGATAAAAGGTGGCATGATCAAAGCTGAGAAATATTAATAATATCCCAACAAGATCAATCAATCAATCAAATTTAAACTTGCAAGAATGCTCTTTGTTTTGTTCTATTTTCCTTATAACCTTGGCAAATCGATCTTTCTCCAAAATACTTTCATACCAGCACCCCGATTTTTTTTTTTCGACTCACTTGCTTACATTCTTCTCAACGTATTCGCTACCAGCAATAACGGCAGTTTTCCCAAACTGTAAACTCATCTGCGCTGCTTCTCCCTCCAGCCGCCACCCTTGGAAATTTCCTTGGTAATTTCCTTGTGTTGACATTGGCTGTCCCATCATACTATATCCCGTTGATATTGGTGGAGACGGCGAACCAGGCGGACCAGACGGTGGGTCACGCATTTGTATCGGTGGATGAGTGGGGATCGGGTGTTGTAATGGTGGCGGGGAGTGAGCGGTCTGTTGTGGGTAAAATTTCTGTTGTTGATACATTTTTCTGTAAATTTAAGGTAAAGCTATAAAGAAAGAAGGTATGTGTGAAGAGGGTAAAAGAGACATGTAGAGAGAAAGTGACATATGGACGGAATGGATTGGATAAGATGAAGTTGGGGCACGTGAAATATGTAAATGTACATTTATGGAAATTGTTCACGCGCTGTAACGCTAGGTCGCGTTAAGTGAAATTCTCAATAGCGTTTCAAACTTTTTCCCTGTCGACAAAAAACCTTTACAGTAACAATGGTCAAGCTTCTAATCGATCGGCCATGCACTTTTGCTCCTGCATCCTCCACATCATTTCCACAAGATACAAACATGAACAATATTGTATTGATTGAATTGCAAGGAGAATTAGAAAAGTATGGTGCTGAAGAGTGGAAAGATCTGTATGTTGGGAGAATACGATTCGAAGAGGTATGCATCATGATAAACGCTGCTTTATGCGAATGCTATTTACAATTTGACTCGAGGAAATAATGAGCTTTATGTAACGACCTCTTTAGGGCGTCCCAATTCTCTACGTCGATCATAACCGCATAGAAGGCAAACTAGTGGAACTAAAATCTCCGCATTGTATAATCGTTAAACGGACGCATTATCCGTTTCCTTCGTCTCAAAATCAGTCAAAATCAGAGCTACAAGATGTCGAAATGACTGATTATTTAGATGCTGGGGTGGTGGCGAATAGTCGTACAGATGAAGGCGGTGAATTGAGTGCGAAAACAAAGATAGAGTATTGTACAGTATCTCTAATATGGAAAAAGTACGTGTTCGCGAAGCGACCGTTGCCAATGATGGAGGCCAAGTGGAAGGAAGCCTTGAACATTCGTTAAATGTTGGGATAATGTGGCATTAGAGACATGACATATTAATATACGCATTTATAATTGTTTTGTTTTTAGAGATTTTCATGGACATAAATAAGAGTCTTTTTTTATTGAACATCGATCCCCTCTCACTACTCATTTTTGACTCGCCAAGAAGGAAAAGTTAGAGCTATCCATCAAATCTACACACTTGACAAGCCTGTTTCACTATTTTCACCGCTCGTTTCCCTTATTTTTTACCATCTTTTGTCTGGCTCACGGCATTATTTGGACCTCTCTCGGGCACATAATAACCGTAAATAAGCCAACCCTCATCCGGCTCCCATAAACGTCGCTGAAATACTACATATTCTAGGACATTTCGGAATTTGTTTGGATCCCCTCCGCGCAAGTTATTAGAAGTGTCGTAAACGACCAAGGACTGGTTCGGACAAGAGAGTATGAATGTAAAAGGGAGAAGCGTAACTGAGAAAATAACTATGAAACGTATGAACTTACCTGTTTCGAGTGTATACGGATGATAACTTGATTAAGCACATACTCGGTTGGATTCATGACTTGAAAGGCTCGAACATTGACGATACGTGGCTTTTCGACCATTCCTCCAAATTTCCATACGTATCTGCCTGGTGATCTCGATTTCAGTTGATTTTTAAACCCCTGGAAAGAGAACCGATTAAGTACTAGGATCGCATGAATAAAACTCGTAAGCTAAAAGCAACTATCAACTGTTTCACTCTTTCTCTCAAACTCTCTACATTCCCCTCGCCTCGTCTTACCTGTAACATATGCTCGTGACAAAATTTTTTGAGACCTTTGATGTTTCCTTCTGCAAAATGTCTATTCATTTCCTTGTATGTTTCAACGGCTTCTATTTTAAACAGGGTAGGTTTCCATTGTTTGTCTGCTGGGAGCCTTAATTTATACTCTGCTCGTCTCGTTAGCCCAACGCTAACATTGAAAATAAGAATTATTTAGAGCGAGGGAAAAGAATGATGGAGAATGCGCCAGCCAAGTCCCCGTCTTACTGAATAAAATTTTTCCAAAAATTCTTTGACCGTTGCCGAAGTTTTCTGAAATATTCTTTCGTAAACATCTTTGGCATTTTCTCTGGCGGAACGTACGCGTCTAGTAATCAAGCAGAGACAAAGTTGGTCAACGAGTCTCTCTCTCGCGCTTTTTCAAAACTGATCTAGATAGATCAATCACCTAATATGCCAAGATTATTTAGCCGATGCCTTACGATAGAAGAATTCGGAGTATTCAGTATTTTCATAGTAGCAGGTTCGGGTTTGTTGGTCTTGACATTTTTATCATTCTTCTTTTCCAGTAAGGAACTCTTTGTGTCGTTATTATTGTTGTTCTTTGTCCGCGCGGCTGCAAAGGACGGTATGAGGTTTTCGGATTTTGGGTTAGTGTTTGTAGTCGTGCTTAATGCTCTTGTTGACTCTCTTGCTGTCGTTTTCGAGGTGTCAGCGAGACTGTGTCCTCCAAGTAACTGTTTGCGTGATGCAAACGCACTTGCATTTCGTCTAAAAGCTATGTAAGTGACAGGTTGTTTAAATAATATGCAGAATGAAGAATGCAGGGAATATGCAGTATGACTGTGTAGATGTTTGTATACGCCTACATGTGTCGAAGTGCGATAAATGCCGGCCATGTTATAAAGGTGATTAAATTTAAAAAAGTCACCAAAATTTATGTTACCACCAATCATGTGATTGCGACACAAAAATTTGTAACGCGTATTCCGTTACTAATTTTTTATGCTAGCCGAATGTCGAGATTTTTTTTTCCATCATCATGAAGTAAAGAGGAAACAGATTCTCAGGCTCCGTTTCTATAAAGTATTTTCAATCCGCCAAGAGGGTATTGTAACGAATTTGCCTCCATCTATTATTTAATCATCTCCCGGTCATTTCTTCATTTTCTTTTGAGCCGCAACTTTTCTTCTTACTTGTAATCGTAACCATAATGTTAACAGTACGACAATGCTAACTAAAGTTGTTATTTTAAAATAGTCAAATATCAATACAAATCGTCCATTGCAACATTTTATGTAACTTGCCATAATACCCCATTGGTACGTGTGGAGGAGAAGTAAACTATTGAATAAACTCACAAAGCCATACGCAAATGTAAACTACAAGTTTATGCAAAAAGAGTTTAGGTCATTATATAAATCATCAATCTTAACATTGATAAATTGATAATTGTTATCTTTTACTCAAATCATAGCTACGCCTCAGTTTAGTACCAGGCAAATCTCCAGCAGACTAGAATATTTTACTCTCCGTCTTGGGGCTTTACATCATTACGATAAACGAAATTCCACACGCTGTCATCAGAATTGTCCTCGTCCACTTTTCGAGCAACATTGTTAAGATCGGTCACAAGTGTGCATGCATCCGGACGCTTATCAGGGTCAGCATCACAACACAGCTCAGCAAGTTTCTTGTATTCTTCTGGTGCTGAATCAGGCATCATTGGTCGTAGTCCACCCATAATATCAGATAATAAATCTCCATCAAATTTTCTATTCCTAAAAGGTGGTTCGCCAGTGGTTATTAAATGGGGCAGACTGCAACAAAACCAGACAAAGTGAACATTCTGTTATGTGACATAAATGTGAGGCTGATGTGAAAGTTAACTAATTTGACAACAACATTTTGAAAAATAATAATGGTGCTCATTCATACTTATGGACTGGTTAATTTTAATGTTCCCATTATCATACCAGAAGGTGATGAATATAAACCATAACAGGATTAATAGGATTACCTCTATATATAAAAATATTTATATTAATATGAAACTAATTTACATCAAATCCACCATGAAACCCAAGAATTACAGCACTATTAGAAGTATTTTAAAAAAAGCTCAAGGAGAAAAAATTGCTCCATACATTTTTAAAATCAATGATACCCAAACTCTCCAAGAATATCTAGATCAAGAAAAAATCACTTATGAAATTTACCAAGAAGAAAGAAAAATAATAAATAATAAACGAGCATTAACACCCACACATGATGAACCAAGAAAGAAACGAAAACTTGAAGAGACATAAGGAAACAAATCCAGCAGCCATGGGTCGAGTGACCATATAATTATCTTCGCTAATGATTATGATCTGCGTGGACTAATCCGGAAATCTCTCGGACTAAAACCGATCTACAGTCACGTGGATTGCATTTATAAACCCTATCCGCGACAATTCGACACGAGAACACGAACACGATGAGTGGCGAACGATATTTAGGGTACAATGGTATGTTAGTTCGACGTTCGCAGTTTCATGTTCGTCAACGAGCTCTTACTCTTGTTACTCGTTCCTAGCCGTTATCGCCTACTTTCGCGACGTAGATAACACCACTGGCACCTATTCTGATTTCCTTGTTAAGTTGCGGGATGTCATCTTGCAAGCTCCGCCGTATACTGAAGATTGGTACGGACTCGACGGTATATGGTATGAACGATACTTGAAAGAAGCAAAAAGTGCTGACAAACAGGTTTGATTTTATTCTATAAAAGAGGAAGCGAGAGGGTGCTTCTGAGTTGTTATTATACGTTGTAATAGCACGTCAAATAAATCGCCATGCGTGTGTGCATGTATTGAGCAACTCTGAGGTTTTGCCGGAAATTTTCGGTACCCGAGTGATGATGGTGATGCGTTTCTCGGCTGTTATTATATGGTTAACATCATATCATATTGAGCAGCTTGGAAATTTTGTTGGAATTTTCAATGCTCCCTCATTGCGATTTGCTTTATACTATGAAAGGGTTGTTTGTTAAGTATTTAGTTACTTTTGATATTGTTGTTATTTTTCCTTCGTGCAGCAACATCCGCATATTCCGATGAAATCATTTTTTGAAGATATTATATTTGAACGCAAGAAGGTCAGCATAATTTATGTGCCGTTGCATCGTATTTTTGGAGAAATAGATGAATGCGCACATTTATGTTTCTAAATTTTGGGAAGACGGGTTTGTAAAGGGAACTTTCTCTATATTCTGTATTTTGACGGTATATAGCGAACGACTCAGCGTCATTACGTAATGTCTAGCGTAAATGTTTTGGATGAGGCTCGGAGGCATGGTGTTGAAGCAATTATTTCAGACATGTCAGAAGCCTTTGTAACAAATGCTACAAAAAGATCTCAAGAAGATATAACAGTTGTGGAGTCATCAAAGAAGGTGACTGATTACAAAGGTTTCTTGGCTCACTTTCCATCTTTAGATAAATATTATGTATTCATTAAAGCATCTTTTGATTATGTTACAGTGCCGAACGGATCCCAGTTTCAGTGTCTCGTTTGATGAATACATTGATGATGCTAATGCTACTCATGTGAAGTAAGCTATTTCGCGTCTATCCATTTGTTAATGATAAATATACACGAGTGATATTTTTCCTTTACCATAGCAAGGATGTTGAAGATGTTGAAGATGTTGAAGAGGATATGAAGATGTTGAAGATGTTGAAGAGGATGATGAAGATGTTGAACAAGGATTTACTTCACGACTCAAACAGATTCCATTATCAGATGCGGTAATGATGTTTAATACCATGTCAGCATTTGATTACAATTTCTCACAAACATTCTTAAGGTTTTAGTGGATTGTTGATGGAATTAATGTACATGAAGTACTAAAATCATACCAAGAAGAGCTTCAAGAACAAAATATTTTGATGACAGCAGATGCAAGGATGTGGGTAAACAGAGAAGCAATTTTTACTTGTGGCATGCAATCTATACAAGTGGCTAAATTCTTGTTGTAGTGCTCTATCTGGTATAGTTGATTTGAGTGAAAATTCGGGGATACGTAAGAAATTCTCAGATCATGTGTGGAAATCACTTATTCTTGGTGTCGATAAGTTGCAACCGGTCTCAATAACAACTCTTGGAGAAAAACTTGTTTGTGAATATAGTGAGGTATTATCAATGTATTTGTCATTTATGTCTGCAAAATCAGTATGATTGATCATTACTTTATGATAGGTTTGTGTGAAGGAGTCCCCCTTGATCATGGAGAGTATTTGCTTCAAAATTGGAACTTGGCAGCTGAAAATGAGACAACTATGAAAATCCAATGGTTGTATGGACATCTGTAAGTTCAGAACAATATTATTTACTTGGTGAGTACAAACAATCTATACTAACTGGCTCACAGCATCAGGTACTTCAAAAACGATCCACCAAGCATATGTGGTTCAGAAATGGATTATATTGTGAACATGGTAGCACCCATTGTTAACACTCTCCTTGGCAGTTATGGCAAATGGATTGAATGGTAATTTGTTGCATGACTAATACTGTGCTTTCATTGGAGTGTGCTGAATGCTTATTTGTCCAGGGACCAGTCCGATCATTCAAACAGACGTCGTCCTGATATCAAGATAATTATTAAGGACAAGAGCAATACAGTGTGTGCTGTTGGAGAAGTGGCATGACCACATGCAACAAAACGTAAAATCGAATTTGACAAACGGCGGATACTCATGAAAATGAAACGTATCTTCGATGAACTGCGTATAAGAACTGTAGAATGTGGGTTGGGAGAAGTATTGGAAGAATTACATCTTTTCGGAATTCAAGTAATAGGTATGTTGGAATCTTGTGGAGCCTAATGCCTGCTTAATAATATACGCTAAGTATATATATAGGCCCTCAGTTCATACTATACAAACTGGATGCAAAAGGCCCAATGTACCGGCTCACTTCGATTGGGGAATTCCATGTGCCAACACGATCAACAGAATTAGGATTACTAGAACACTGTATTAAGTACCTATTATCCTTGGATGTAAGTATCTTTAATCACACTATGTTTCTTCCTATAAGGTCAGATAACAATATAATACCTTTTTCAGCAACGCATGACGTTACTGTCACAGACAATTCACAAAATATCGAATCTGCCATCTATCAAGCAGATTACAACCAATATTAATTTCCCTGTATTCAACACGCCGAAGAAAAAATGTTGAAATTGTTTAATATTTCAAAGTACCATGATTAGTTAAGATGGCATCACTTATTTTTGTGAATAAATTTCGATTGTCATTTCTTTTATGATTAAATGTGTTTTTATTTGTGGTCCATAGAAACTTTGTATGAGGGAAGTCTTGTAGTTATTCTTGGATAGACCAACGTAAAATTTTCTTTCACATCTTACTGTAGAGTCGGTTAAGAGCCTGGTAAGGTTAATGCATGCCAAATGTTTTGCATCTATGGAATGTGAACGATCTCATCACTCTGTCATCCTATTATGGAGTTTGCTGCGACAGAATCGAAAATTTTTGGACGCCATACGGATTGGTCCTATAACAATCTTTCTTAAGTTGGTTATCGGGTGACTAATTGTACGTTTCAAGGCAACAAAAGAACAAAACCACATAAAGTACTAAAATTTTATATAGGACTACTCGTATATGATAAATAATGAATATAATGGCTCCACTGAATATGACATAGCCATACGTTTCTTGGAAATAGGTTGCAAATGTGGTTGCTCAAAAAAAATTCCGAGAGAAGTTTGCTGAATTACGTGAAGCATTTCAAGCTCTCGCTAGACCCGAGCAAGATATATTTGTAATGGCCCAACTGAAAGCAATGAATGGCGGAGAAATAACTGTCAGCCGACGTCTTAAAAAGAAAACGCGTGCTAATAAGAGAACTTTTTATTATTGAGATCGTAACACACCTCTTTGTCAAAAAACCTATCTCAATATGTTAGGAATTGGTCGCACGCACTTCGAAAACGTTAGAAATCACTTGTCGACGAATGGTATAATACCACGCATTCACGGTAACATCAAACGAATGCCACGATGGAAAACCAAGATAACCATTGATATAAATGTTGCTACTGCTGTGAAAAATTTTCTCGAAAACTATGCGGAAATTCATGGCTTACCAAGTCCTGGTAGAAATGTTAATCGAATTACGCAATCGCTTACACTTTTACCAGCCGAAAAGAGTTATAAATCGGTCTATCGCAATTTTATTGCTGGTCTCGAAAATGATAGCACATTGAAATTGTTAAAATATGATGCATTTCGCAAGTTATGACACCAATTAACGCCTTATATTCAAATCATGAGTCCAAGAACGGATTTGTGTGACACGTGCCAACATTTTCGGAACGGTTTGCAGTATAATGCTCGTAAGAAAGAAGAAGCAAAAGATTTACTAAAAAAATTCAAAGAACATTTAGTTAAGGCTAAAACTGAGAGAAATTATTACAACAAAAATACAAAATTAGCAGAACAACAAAGAAAATTGGTGGACGAACATTTTATAACAAGAGGTAAAGCTGATTATTGTAGCATTGACGCTACTGCTCATTACAGTTACGGTTGGGCACAAAACGTTCAAATGCCCCATTCCGATCAACAAGTAAGTAAGATCTATTATCTTAGTCCGCGTAAAGTGCATTTATTTGGTATTCAAAATGAAGCAGTACGCGAACAGATTAATTACGTTCTCGATGAGGATGAAATTATCGGCAAAGGCCCTAATGGTACGCTGAGCTTGGTATTCGATGGGATTAAGCGATTGAATAAAGGCGAAAAACATTTAAAAATTACTTGTGACAATGCGGGTGGACAGAATAAAAATAATGCTACTATTTGATTTTACTTATATTTAGTAATCTGCGGCTATTATGAAAGTATCGAATTAAATTTTACGGTACCGGGACATACCAAATTTAAGCGTGATGGTAGTTTTGGATTGATTAAGAAACTATACCGCAAAACGACCGTAGATCGTGTGAATCATATTGTTGAGGTTGTGAAAAAATCGAGTACAGCCGGATTAAATAAAGCCCAGCGTTATGACAACGGAAAAGGTTTTCAATACCTTGATCTTAATTCCGTGTTGGGAATTTTCTTTAAAAAATTGAATGGTTTACAAAAATATCAGCATTTTGTATTCGAAGCGGCTCGACCTGGAATTGTCAAAACCCAGCTGGTTGCTAATGGTGCTTTTACTGAATTTAATTTGTTAAAAACGAGAAAGACAAACGTTTCTAAAATTACCAAAAAAAATTAAATCTTTTTCATCCTCGTACTAATACCTCCTCCTTTGGATTACAAAAGACAAGAATATCTTTATCATAATATTTACCAATTCGTTAGAGACGAATTCAAGGATATTACTTGTCCACAACCAACATATACTGGCAATGAATAAAATATTTAGACTAAAATTTATCATTTTAATGTTAAGTTTTTCGTTTAATTTTTTCAATGAATATGGCTAACATTTTCACTTTAATTTTTCAAAGTTAAATAAAAAAAATCAAAGTAATTATATACTTAATTATAAAAATTTGATATAAGTATATTAAAAACATAAACATAAACAGCAAAAATATGACAAACAATAATCAAGAACAAATAATAAACAACGCCAAAAGCCTAAACTGCATTAGGCAAATCTAATTTATTACAACACATCGCTCAACAGTGGCAAAAAAAAAGGTAAAATCCAAGAAGTTCCCACTAAAATAGGATGTTTTTTTCATCAATCAAACTAATGAACTGCTGATCAAAAAAGAAAAAGAAGCTAAGTCTGATTTAGAAAAGAATTAGAAGAAAAGACTACTCTTCTAGAAAAAAAAGTTATTGAGTTAGAACAAACTAATCAAGAGTTAGAAGAAGCACTAGAATTGGAGGAGGAAACATCTGAATGTCATTTAGAGGCTCTTGAAGTAGCCAAGGAGTGGAGAATAAGACAAAGTAAAGAAAAAGATGACAAAATAGAAATGTTAAGAAATGATGTGATATGACAGAGTTATTTAAGAGACAAGGAACTTAAAGAACTACCATCCTTACCAAAGAAAGAAAAAAATTTTAAACACCTATCTAACAAAGTAAAGAATAAAGTTAGCCAAACAAAAGAAATAGTTAGAGAAAAGTTTAATGCTTACATTTTACAAAAGAGTAAATAGTATGAAATTGGAATATCAAGTTATCAAATTAAAGAGAGAAGGCAGATGGAGTTGTGATTTCTGCTCTTTTGAAAGAGAAAATGGTTCAATTGCTACTTATAAAGCAGTATCTTACAATATAAGCAATAATGGTTGTAGTGATGTTGCTTATATCTGTGTTGAATGTAAAGAAGCTCTTAATGCTGATGCTCTACCTCATTGTAATAATTGTGGTCGAGTTATGAGAAATGGAGTAGACTGTTTCTTCTGTTTAAGAAAAGATAAAACAAAAAAAACTCCTCCAACAATAACAGAAGTAATGGCACAGAGTTATGTTGGCAGATTGGAACAACAAAATAAAGATTTTAAACAGCAATTAGATAGTGCAAAAGAGGAAATTAGCACTCATTTAAAAGCCTTGGAAGTTTCAAAGGATTGGCACAATAAGCAAAAGCAAGAATTATTAGATAAAATTCAAAGGCTAGAAAATGAGGTTGAACAACTAAAAAAGCAGCAAACTCAACTAACTGCCCAAATAGAAATTAAAGAACCTAAAAAATGGTCTTGATTGAAAGGGAGGAAATAATTTAAAGGTCGAAAATTTTGGTTACTTTCTACCATATAAATTGATTATTTTAACTGTCAAAGAAATGGCAATCATTTTCGTTTAAGTGAAACTAAAAATATAGCCTTTGATATGTTATTGAAAAAAGAGATAATCCTCAAACAAAGATCTTAGATATTTTGCATTACATTTTATCTAATTTTCGCTTCTTTCTTGGTTCATCATGTGTTGGTGGTAATGTTCGTTTATTAGTTATAATTTTTCGTTCTTCCTGGTAAATTTCATAAGTTATTTTTTCTTGATCTAGATATTCTTGGAGAGTTTGGGTATTGTTGATTTTAAAAACGTAAGGCGCAATTTTTTCTCCTTGAGCTTTTTTTAGAATGCCTCTAATAGTGCTGTAATTCTTGGGTTCCATGGTGGACTTGATGTAAACGAGTTTCATATGGTTATTTTATATAGGGATAGTCGTATGCCAGTTTACCTTTTACAACGGCTGTGCGCCAATCCTACCTCAATACCAATGTCTAGTGTTGAATGTGTAATGTCCGAACTATCGTGTGAACGACGTGTTTGGAGATGGGAATGTGCTTCCCAAGCCGAGCTTGCCGCAGGAAACGCGCAGGCGAGGGGGGCAAATGCACTCTGAATTCAAGATATATACAAATATCAGGGTGGGCGGGAGGAATCGCAATGTACGGATTACGCGAGCGGTCGGTGAAAGAAGGTGTGTTTATTATCACAACCGCAGGTGCGAAAGTCTACGTAACGGCTCTACCTGTGCACAGCTTCGCTGCTGGGGTTGGCATGCACCAACTTGACGGCTTGGTTTCTATATGGTTTCTCGTTTCCATCGTAAATAGTTTAAGTTTTATGCAGGTTCGCTGGGATAGAGGCCGGAAGTATTTTATTCAAGTGGACCAGTCACGTGTTGAAGTGAAAGTGGCGTC